ATAATTGACAGATGCCTGAATCTCGCTTACGACATTTTCAAGATAAGTTCGCATATTTACAAGTTCCGAATAACAACTGGACTTTTCCCGATCCTGCGGACAGTATGGAAAGCAGTCGACGTCGCCTAAAACACGTCATCTCGGATCCTCCCGATCCACTAACGGTGCTTTTAGGTACTTCAAGCACCGGTCACCGTTCTCGTCGAACCCGTCGCTTGCGACGAAGGGCTCGACGAGTAAATTAACTCTCAGACACAGCCCACTGAGTTTCTCGCCGGATCTTCTCAGTGGGTCGCGTTTCCGATCCGGTGGTAGATTCTGCGAAGCACGACTCTTGCTAGGGTTCGTGTTAGCATCGTCGTCAGGTTTGAGCCCCGTGAGCTCACCTACTAGTTACGGTTACGCTGGAATAGCCTCTCTAGGCTACCAGCTTAGGTAGGAAAAAACAATTGGACCGTCGGTCTACCGAGCAATATCACCCGCTCAGTGGAAGATCTTCCCTTCGTCGTTAAACATCCTACACACTTATAAAATGTGTTACAATAAATTTTAATACTCTACACGAAAAGTATACAAGAGATTGTATCTTTCGTAGTTAAAATTTCAGCAATGGTATTAACTATCCTTTGTTTCACGGAATTCTTGTTACTACAAAAACTCACTAACTCAACGTTTGTTTAAAAGTTTTTTTTTTTAAATCGTATGATATTTTTTTTCATTATTAACAATTTTGTCACAGATCCTCAATACGTGTGATTGAATAGTCTAAAAAAATCGTTTTTTTTTTTTCATGATTAAGAATTTTGTCACAGATCCTCAATACGTGTGATTATTTATTAATGAATAGTCTAAAAAAAAATAATTACATTAAACATTATACTTGTAGAACAATAAATATTATCTATTTTTAGTTTGAAACATCAAAACGATTGCACTACAACTGTCGAAGAACAGTGAACTACTAACATACATAAAATAATTAGGCACACAATTTCTCAAGAGTAACAACGAAAGTTTTTTTATGTATTTCATTCACATCTTACAATGTTCGAAATCAAATCACGCTTGTTTTAAGTCGAGTTGATATTTAATATGTTTTCTGCTGCCTTGTATAGTGTAAAGCATTCTAACAATCATTATAAGTTTTTAATAGACGGTGTAATCTTTTTAAATATATTTAATTCAGTATCATGCTGTTTTTCGAAGAAAGCTTTAATTAATAAGCTTGTAATAATACTTTACTGGTGGTAAGATCTCTTGTGAGTCCGCACGGATAGGTACCACCGCCCTGCCTATTTCTGCCGTGAAGCAGTAATGCGTTTCGGTCTGAAGGGTAGGGCAGCCGTTGTAACTATACTGAGATCTTAGAACTTATATCTCAAGGTGGGTGGCGCATTTACGTTGTAGATGTCTTTGGGCTCCAGTAACCACTTAACACCAAGTGGGCTGTGGGCTCGTCCACACATCTAAGCAATTAAAAATAAATTGTATACTTTTTATAGGCCTTGTAGGCAGACGAGCATACGGCCCACCTGATGGTGAGTGGTTACCGTCGCCCACGGACTTCAGCAATGCCAGAGGCAGAGCCAAGCCGCTGTCTACCTACCTATTAATAAGTATACTTTGGACGAAATGTGTGTTTATTTCATTCAAAAAAAGATTTTTTTTTTGAATTCGTTATTCCCACACAAATATGTTAACTCGTCTAGCCCCCAAAATAAAGTCGAGTTTTTTTTTTGTTTGGCGTAGATTCGAGTTTTGACGTAATCACTATCGCCATCGTGACACTGAAATTATTCTTGCCGCACAAACACGTGCGCCTCTTGTAAACGATGCTATGTGTTTATTTATAGACTAGTTTCAATATTATACAGTGTTGCGTACTACGAGTTATTAATGTAAATTTTCGTCTCATTAACTACTGCGCCGTCTTGTCTTTAAGTATAGACAGTATCTCAGAACCACTCTCGAAAAGTAAAGGCAAATTGGAGTGCTGGTTTTTTTTTAAGATGACCTCACGATCCACCCGATAAGTGGTCAGCGAACCCCATAGCCATTAACCACGTTAATACCCCACCCACTTAGAGACAAGAGCTCTCATTTTTTTAGTACAAAGGCTGCCTCGCTCTTCAAACCGAAACGCGTTATTGCTTCACGGCAGAAATAGCCAGGGTAGTGGTGCCTACCCATAGCCCACTGAGTTTCTCGCCGGATCTAGTCAGTGGATCGCGTTTCCGATCCCGTGGTAGATTGTAGATTCTACAAAGCACTGCTCTTGCTAGGGTCAGTGTTAACAACACTCCTGTTTGTGCCCCGTGAGCTCACCCACACACGTTAGGGCGAAGCTGAAATAGCCTCTCAAGGCTATCAGCTAGATAGGAGAAAAAAAAAAGTTGCCTACCTGTGCATACGGGTTCCCGAGTAATTTACATTAAAAAATAACGTTTCACTGGTCTGTGTAAATGTTTTTGGCGTTGTCATTAAAACTAGTCATTCTCAATTACTTTCAAACGAAACAGTATTATTATTATAACTAGCGACCCGCCCTCGCTTCGCTTCGGAAACATTAAAACAAACATGAAACAAAAAAAAAAAAAATTTTTAAAAAGTAGCCTATGTTCATCAGGGACAATGTCGGCTTCTAATGGAAAAAGAATTTTTCAAATCGGTCCAGTAGTTTCGGAGCCTATTCGAAACAAACAAACAAACAAATCTTTCCACTTTATAATATTAGTATAGATATAGATAATAATGATTTATTTCGTTTCTTTTTGGACACATACGAAGCTCACAATGAAATCTGTTGAACGTGTACAAGTAACGTCAATTGATCAACAGAGGACCCCCCTTCATTGATATATCCGGTCGTTTCTAAAAAATAATAATCAATGCCTAATGCATTCTTGTTCAAGAGCGTCGCGTTATTTCTGACGAAAGTGTGTCAAAACGGAAAAGTGTCTGTTCGAAATGTGTCAAAAAATGTTTGAAATGTGTCAAAAAATGTTTGACACATTTGTCTTAATTCATCATCATCGTCATCATAGTCGGTAACTCTTGGCATAGTAGTCGTGGCCATGTGGAATCCCTGTTTATTATAACTATGTTTATTAATATTAATTTCTCTTAATAAACATGAGGTATTCAAATTGTGTGTGCGCTTCTGTTGTATAAGGAGAATTTTTCTAATACAGAGACATGGTTATGTTATGAATTTACAATAGATATATGTACGTGGAAGTGTAGTTTAGTGTTGAAGATCGAAGATTTCCTTAAAGATATCGCAGCAAGGACATCGTTTTGTACCATATATTATTATGCATATTGGTTAATAATCGATGGCTCGTGGAATACAGAAGGTTTTAATTTTGTTTGTTTACATTATTAATGTATTTCCGTCACATGCTCGCAAACAGGACACGTATCTATCGATATGATTTCAATTATAATGTCTTTTAAATGAGAATTAATAAATAAAATTACGAAAAATTACATCTGCTTTAAAAAAAGATGTGTTTGAATTGAAATTAGATACTGTAGATTGGTATACGTTGTTTTACAATGGTAACTTTATTGAACAAAAAATTAAAATCTTTAGACGCTTTTAAACTGTCATGCTTAGGAAGTATTTTTATTTTTTTATGTAGCAACCAATATGGCGATTAGAAAAGGATTTGAATAAAAAATTATAGGCCACTAACTATCCTTATGTTTAACTGATCTTTAATAAAATCACCCTTATGCAGTGTTATGTGGGCCGTGACCTTCGTCTACCTACAAGGGCAATAAAACATTAAGTTATTAAAATTAAATATATTATATATAATCTTTATCTATATATATAAATGAATTGCTGTTCATTAGTCCCGCTAAAACTCGAGAACGGCTGGACCGATTTGGCTAATTTTGATCTTGAATTATTTCTGAAAGTCCAGAGAAGGTTTAAAGGGTAGATAAATATGAAATTGTTCGGAATTAAATAAAAATAAGAATTTTGTTTTTCGTTTGATGTGTCCCCCGTCGGACGGATTCGTTTTGTTTGTTTTAAGTTTATTTTATACAAAAGTTTAGGTCTTTTATTTATCGATTGAGGCACTAAGAAGTCTGCCGGGTCAGCTAGTATTATTATATTATATTAGTTATTATATACATAATTAATTATAGGGCAGTCGCAACATAAACATTCAATCAAAACAATTACTTAATAGGTATAACCTGGTAATAAATAGATCGATCTAGTTTTACGTTTATCGTTTCCTAATTCCTATTTGTGTTCTAATTGGCGGGGACATCAAGAAGTACGTTTAGGTGCCAAATGTTAGTCTAGAAAGACTAGTGTTTGCCAACACGCATGTTGGTCGTGATAAACTTAATGTCTTGGTATTATAATGTACGTCTCATATGGAAAGTAGAAATTCCTGATAATTTAACTGTTACAAAATACAAAAGAGGTTATAATTGGAGAAGAAAAAAAACTGGTATCATATTAATCCATTTATATCCACCCATGTATTAGTAAAAAAAAGCTTATCTCGTTTGTAAAAGGAACTGAAAGGATTTGAAGCTTCTTTTTCCTATTTTAAGAAATGTTTAAAAACTTAAGTGGTAACTTATCAGGAAATCGGTTCTAAATTCGGAATTCGGAATTCTCTTTAATTAAATTGGAATATATTAGTTTAAATTTCGAAGTCAGCATAATGCGTGACTTGAGGTACATAATATGTTATATAAACTAGCGACCCGCCCTCGCTTCGCTTCGGAAACATGAAATTTTATTATTGATTATTTATGAAATCACATTAGAAACCTCAAAAATAGCAGTATTTCTCCACTATTAAATTGATGTTATTATACATATAAACCTTCCTCTTCAATCACTCTATCTATTAAAAAAAACCGCATCAAAATCCGTTGCGTAGTTTTAAAGATTTAAGCATACATAGGGACAGAGAAAGCGACTTTGTTTTATACTATGTAGTGATATGGTTGTCTGTCTCTTTCAGGATTCCTGGCACGACCCGAAGATCGAAGACTCCGGTACCGTGATCAACGTGTTAGATATAGGAAGGCAGAACTTCGCGAACAGCGGCGTTATCTCAAGATATTTCTGTGATCTCGCGCAATGTTTCAATCTTGTCAAGTTCCAGTACAAGGATGTTATTCCAGATGTAAGTTTCGTTTTTTTTTTATTGCTTAGATGGGTGGACGAGCTCACAGCCCACCTGGTGTTAAGTGGTTACTGGAGTCCATAGACATCTACAACGTAAATGCGCCACCCACCTAAAATGGTCCTGGTTTTTTCTTTTTGCTGATCGGCCTAAGAGTCTATGTCAGCTATGTGAGCTCACGGGGCTCAAACCTGACGACGTTGCTAACACTAGCCCTAGCAAGAGCAGTGCTTCGCAGAATCTACCATCGGATCGGAGACGCGACCCACTGAGAAGATCCGGCGAGAAACTCAGTAGGCTGTGTCTGTGGGTTAGTTTACTCGCCGAGCCCTTCGTCCTAAGTCCGATTAATTAATACGATTTTAAAGTATTTTTTTTCTACCTGTGCTTGTAACCTCGAGCAGATATGCCAGCGTAATCGGCGAGACTTTTATAGTAACTTGTCTTGTATCTGTTTGTATGTTTTTCTTTTGACCTACCTAATCTTTGGTAGCCTAAGAGTAGCCCAAGGTGGCCATTCCAATTTATTAAGTCTCATACATATTAATCAACGTCAACTCGTTTCATTTAATATCATTTTTAAGATAACAGAATATCGATTTAACAATTAAAATGTTTTCGTAAACTCGACCCTGGCAACAATGGAGTCGCAAAAGAGTCATACTTTAAAAAAAGAAGAAAAATTACTTATTTCTTTACGAAAATAAGCGAGAACTTTTCTAGTAACTACAGACACAAAATATATATCTAATAAAACAGCAGAATTACGTAGCTTTGGGAGTTGGATGTGTGTTAATTGTTCTTCGTTGGTAATCGCATCACTCGAAATGGGCCAGACCGGTCTGGCTATTTTCAGATCTTAGAATGTTCCTAATACTTCAAATAGAGTATTGATAGAAAAACAGAAGTAGGTGGCGCTGCAATCGTGTTTAGTATACGAGAGAACGTACTGGATTATTGAAAAGTCATTTTTAAAATAAAATAATAAGATTTAATTGTTCATAGAAATACGAATATTGATTGATTTCGTAATTCTAAATATTATAAAAAGGTATAGTAGATTGGAAATTGTTTGCACCCTTACAGTGTGGGAAACGAGTGGGGACTGAATTTTATTTTTTATTGCTTAGATGAGTAGACGAGCTCACAGGCCACCTGGTGTTAAGTGGTTACTGGAGCCCATAGACATCTACAACGTAAATGCGCCACCAATCTTGAGATATAAGTTCTAAGGTCTCAATTATAGTTACAACGGCTGCCCCACCCTTCAAACCGAAACGCATTACTGCTTCACGGCAGAAATAGGCAGGGTGGTGGTACCTACCCGTGCGGACTCACAATAGGTCCTACCACCAGTAATAAAATTGTAATTATTTAATTTCACTGACGACCTGGAATTATAATCTGTGTACTCGGTTATTTTATATACAAACCCGAAATGTAAGATATGCCATTATTTTATGATTTTATGTGCTTTTTCAATTGGGCCTCTGAGTAATTTCCATTTGTCACAGGACCCGGTAGGTGGCGCTACGGTCATAGCCCAGTAATATATTATATTAATGGGTCAACGTCGGCGGGGCACGGTAGTTCATATAATAATTACTACATACGATTTTCGCTTCTAAATTCCAGGTGCAAAAGGATCCAGCTTACATAAAAGCTATCGAAGACACAACCGAAGAAGAACTAAAAAAGACTGATTTGAACCTCGACGAAAAGGGAGATAGAGATAAACGGAACAGCGCCGGCTATCTGACCGTGAAGAAACGCGTCGAAGCCAGAGCGAAAAAAGTCTTGACCGATATTAGTTCGGCCATGTCTTATAATATACTAAGGTATGTTGTCAAAGATTTTTAATTAAGGATAAGGATTAAGATCCGGCGAGAAATTCGGTGGGCTGTGTCTATGGGTTAATTCGTCGAGCCCTTCGTCACAAGCGACGGGTTCGACGAGAATGGTGACCGAGGTTTCTTATTTTAGTTCATCAACGTGATGTTTAAAACTAATTACTACTTAATGAAATCAGGTCTCCGCCATCTACCTCCCTCCCCTTTTAACTAAATATCCTTAGTCCCTACAGCATAATTTGCTGTCAACTTTTGAGTGTAAGAAAAGTAAGATTGGATTACGGTTTATTTTTGTTCCAACACATAGCGCACATCAAAACACTTCATAATTTATTATCATTACCAGTTCACCGTCGAAACCGATCATCATCTCTTTGTGTGGATAAAGTGAGTATATCCACTGACCGTAAACGGTACACAATTGCTGACTTGTCCGGTTCCTGGTCATGTACGTTTTTTTTAAGCTATTGCATAGATTTTATCGCGGGCTTTGAGCGTGGCGACCGAATCGAGAAATTCCGTAACGAAAATAACCTGACACCCCCACTACGCCTACTATGTAGCTCGCGTTCAACACATTCACACCTTGCGCTTGTGTAGTGTTTGTGAATAAGCGCGCGGCGTGACGTCGCACTGCCGCATGTACATAATGAAAAGTCTGTCCATCTCTCCCTCGCGTGGTCTAGGTTATGAGCGTGAAGGGGATAGTTAATGTTTTGCTTTTGTTAATGTTTATAAATATAGCGTGGTCTTATTTTATTGTTGTTTTAATATTAAATTATTATTGTCGATTTATAATTGCATAAGTTGATAAAAAATACTATAAAATAGCTTACCGTGGCAGTCTCCGAGTGCCACATGTGTTTTTTTTTTGTACGTGTCTGATACGCGTTTGATGTCCGCAGAGTGGTGGCGTGGCTGACGCACAAGGCGATCCGTCGCGTGGCGGGCGGCGGGTGCGGCACGCGCGCGGGCTCGGTGGCGCGGCTGCGGCGCGCGACGGCGGCGGGGCTGCCGCTCGTGTTCGTGCCGCTGCACCGCTCGCACTTCGACTACATCCTCGTCACCTTCGCGCTCTACCTCACCGGGCTGCGGCCGCCGCTCGTGGCCGCCGGGGACAACATGAGGATACCCTTCTTTGGGTACTAGACCCTACTCAGTATACGCGAGTGCGGCTCTGAGCGCACATATCGCCTTTTCGCATTAAAAGTGTACAATTTCCAAAAATATTCGAAATTCAGTTAATATAGTTAAGTTATAGTTGAGTTAATATATAGGCAGCGGCTTGGCTCTACGCCTGGCGTTGCTGAAGTCCATGGGCGACGGTAACCACTCACAATCAGGTGGGCCGTGTGCTCGTCTGCCTACAAGGGCAATAAAAAAAATTGCGGAAACATTTGGTATCACCAGTATTTTTCTCATAAATACTGTCAAAAGAGTGTAGTTTAGTTTTAGTTTTATTTTGTTTTTTTAGGCTACCTTTGTTTTGATTACTATTAACAAAATTAATTCATAATTTTATCTTACTTTAAAAGACAGATAATGTTACTGGTAAAAAAAATGTTGCAAAGATGATTAATATTAAAAATATTACATGTTAAACTTTTAAAACACTCTTCTGTAAAATTATTAAGTTTTGAGATTATACAGTTTTAATGTGAGAAGACGATATCAGGATCGCTCTAAACAGGTGGTAGGACCTCTTGGGAGTCCGCACGGGTAGGTACCACCACCCGGCCTCTTTCCGCCGTGAAGCAGTAATGCGTTTCGGTTTTAAAGGTGGGGCAGTCGTTGTAGCTATACTGAGACCTTAGAACTTATATCTCAAGGTGGGTGGCGCATTTACGTTGTAGATGTCTATGGGCTCCAGTAACCACCTAACACCAGGTGGGCTGTGAGCTCGTCCATCCATCTAAGCAATAAAAAAAAAACAAACAAGTTTGACAAATTTAATAATTGCTCATTAGGCAACTAACTTCCTGAAAAGATTACGTTTTAAACGCAATCGAAAAAATATAGTATTAATCTATTGTTCTTACGTTACTTGAAATATAATGAAATATACATTAGATTGCTACATATTAGTTTACCACAGTAAAAACTTTCAGAAAATACAAAAAAAAAATCCTTACATACAAAACAACACGCTGTATATCCATACTAATGTTATAAATGGGAAAGTGTGTTTATTTGTCTAACTTTCACAACGTAACTAAGCAATTATTTTCTTAAATTTATGATTTTAAATTAGTCAGGTGTACTGCCTTATAATCTCGAAAAAAAAACACCTCATTTCCACGGGAAACGGACTTTCACGGTGAACACAAAACAACGGATTGACATTATTATTTTAAAGAGATAAGCTTAAGTCACTCACACAAGCGTACTTACCTTTACTACTACTACCTTTTATCCCGGAAAAAACATTTCATTCCCACGGACCACTGAATTAACATTTTTCCTCCAATACACCTTCGCCTTAGTGACAGTCATGTAAACAATAATCTAAATGAACCCCATTCCGTGCTCCAGGTGGATACTGCGCGGCTGCGGCGCTTTTTACATCAGACGAAGAGTTGACGGTTCCGAGCACAACGGCGACCCCGTCTATAAAGCAGCTTTAAGGTAACCGACTCGTTAATTCCTAGCCCCAGGGCGTAGTGAGGTCCATACGGGTCCATACGAATCATTTGATCTTTTGCAACAGTCATGCATTTCATTTTGATGAATGGGACATCCGCATGACAAATATACCTTATGCCTCAAAAAGGTATGATAACGCGAATGCCCCAACATTTGAAACACGTGGTCTAAGTCTTAATTGTATAAGGCCTGAGCGTATAATTTATTTACGTTACAAATAGTGATAGTAAATTATCATTATCTCTGAGCTTCGTACCTACCTTACCTATAAGTCAAGTTATAACAAAACATGTAAGATTTAAACGAATCTACATATGTATGTACATTAGTACAACACTAGATACATATCGTGAATTAAATCAATTTCAGATCTTACATCATAAACAGTTTGGCGGCCAACAACAATCTGGAGTTCTTCATTGAAGGCGGCCGGACTAGGACCGGGAAGCCGCAGCCTCCCAAAGGTACACACTGCGCTACAGTACCAACGTACGGACGCGCGCTGTACCGAGCGGGGGGCGAGGTGCGCGCGGGGGGAGGGGGCGACCACTACAACTTTAAATCTGGTACCCTTTAACTGTGGGTAGCCCAGTCATCTTCCTCGCTGAACCCAAGGGCTCGACGAGTAAATTAACCTACAGACACAGCCCACTGAATTTCTCGCCGGATCTTCTTCGCGTTTCCGATCCGGTGGTAGATTCTGTGAAGCACTATTGCTAGGGCCAGTGTTAGCAACACTCCCGGTTTGAGCCCCGTGAGCTCACCTACACGCCAAGGAGAAGCTAAAATAGCCCCTCAAGGCTATCAGCATAGATAGGGAAATAAAATGTGGGTTATGTGCATCTCTTTCAATATCTATCGATGTAGCCAACTAAGGGACTCGTCTGAGAATGGACAGCCTTCTCTGAGTATCGTACAAGCTTACTGCCAACTGACGTGTACTGGTGGTACCGCCATCATGCTTAATTCTGTAGTATCACACCTTTATTATAACACGGTCAACGGTTACGTTTATTTTGTTTTTATTTAATTCTATACAGTAAGCTGTCGTAAGACATTCAACCGTGGTTTTGAGAAAAACAATTTCGGCGGTGCATGCACAATGTCCATTGACATGTCCATATCAATTAATCTACAGTAGATCTAGAGGCACTCTTCTTTTATTAAACTTGAAATAATTCCTAATAGTTTAAAGTTTGTTTTGCACACTAATTTGAGTAATTTTCTTTATGCTCACGAGGAAATAGAGTGTGGAAATGGTATGTTTTTAAACCCTAGAATTCTTTGGCAAGTGCAATAAATTTTTGGGTACTAGCTTTGATTTGACTGAATCTCATCTCTACATCGAATATTAACCGATACATTTTCTTGCACTGATAAGATAATCAAAAAAGAATTTGCTTAGTTAATAGATTTGTTTTATAAAATATATCTTTTCCCGTTATGTAGGTACCTAGATTTATCAGGAACGCCTTTGTGGATATACTCACTTTTGAAATTCTGTCTTTTAATTGTTTTAAAGTCAAAGACTTCATATAATCCGATTAATAAAAATTATTAACTAAGGCACCCTGTATTTGAAATATATTATATATATATATATTATATGTATATACATCCATTGTCCTCTAACAAAGATTGTTCCTTTATTATTAAATCGTGCGTGTCGAGCCTGTCTGATAATAACATAGTTTGTCAACTGCTTATAACTCCAGTGTAAGCTAATAAAATGCCATAATCTTTTCAGCTGGAATCCTGTCCGTGATAATGGACGCGTATTTGGATGGTACCATAGACGACGCCCTCCTAGTCCCGGTCACGTTGAACTACGACAAGTTGGTCGACGGTAACTTCGTGAGGGAACAACTCGGCATGCCCAAGCAGATGGAGACGTTCTGGTCGGCCCTCAGAGGGATCTGGAGGACAATGAACACTAATCACGGCTCTATAAGGGTCGATTTCAATCAACCCATCTCCTTGAAGGTAAGGCTCGGTCTATTTCTACAAACTTTACATATAATATCAATGTAAATTGCGAAACGCGTATCTCAGTTTAGGGGCATTTACACGTATTTTGTTTTATTAAAATTGTAGTATCGATTATTTTTATTATTCGTCTAAACCGAATATAAAAATGCATTTTTTTGTTTTCAGGAATTAGTGCAATCTTTCAAAAAGTATAATCACTTCAAAGCTCCCATCGAAGCGCCTCTTGGTCCTGCCGATGACAAATTTTCTTCGGATCTGGACCGGAGACTGTTGTACAACCACAGCCACTCGAGCTTGTATGGCGACGACGTCAGCACTGACCACAAGATGATGGTCGAGGCTATTGGGAGACATATTGTTTATGGTTAGTTTTGCTTAAATATGTAGCTTAAGTTTTAAATTATATTTTAAACTCTGTATTAAGATCCATACAATATAAGATAAAATACACGTCTCTTGTTGACATTTATATATATACATATTTAAATATCAAATAAAATTTCTGTTTTGTTCTGTTTCTGAACAGATTAAAATACGTTTAATAGGTTATTTTTCTGCTATAGCGAATTTTTTTTTATTGCTTAGTGGGTGGAAGAGCTCACGGTCCACCTGGTGTTAAGTGGTTACTGGAGCCCATAGACATCTACAACGTAAATGCGTCACCCATCTTGAGATATGAGTTCTAAGGTCGCAGTATAATTACACAATTATTGTGTAACTATACTTAATGTGTACGATCACTTTTTTTGTAGTACAGAAAAAATTATAGTTACTTTTCGAACGCTATTAAAATTTGTTCAAATCAAATTTAAAAAAATTTATTCAACATAAATGAAAGTACATACTTGTTGAACGTCAAAGGAACTACCGCCAATTCACAAAAACTAGCCTCCGTCCTGAGAAGAACTGGCAAGAAACTCAGCGGGCATGTCATTTTTCTTTTTTTTTTTTTTAATATTATATTATTATTATTTTTTGGATTGGATTTTGAATGGTCAATAACGATAAAAGTTTTGACAAATGAATTGCGATGTTCCAGAGGGAGCTCAGGCCACGGCGGTGATGTGCACGAACGTGGTGTCGTACGTGCTGCTGACGGAGGCGCGCGGCGGCGCGGGCGTGCGGCGCGCCGTGCGGGCTCGCGGCGCCGCGCTGCGGGCGGAGGGCCGGGACCTCGCCTACCGCGCCGACCCCGACCGCTGTCTGGAGCACGCGGTGCGTACCCTGCTATACTACGACACGAAACATAGTATTGTCATCGGTTTTCGCGAACCCTACATATAATACTATTTTACGATTTAATCTGACATATATTATTATAATATATGTCAGATTAAAACAATTCTCAATATATTAGCAAAAATGTTGTTTTATAATAGTAATTACGGTGTTTAAATAAGAAAAGACGAAATTGCGTTTCTTCTAAACAACAAGAAACAACATTTAATGCCCTTTCTTCAATAATTCTTTAACACACATTTCACAACGTCCATTAACCGAAAAATTATTTAAACAACTATCAATTGTCATATGACAGATTGACATTCAATCACTCATTACATTATTTTAATTATTTTTTTTACGATTTTCATAAGATTCGAGATTAAATTGTGGCTAAGAATGGTTGAAGATCGCCTAACCGAACTGGCACTTCTCTACGTTCATAAAAACGTACCCATTGACGTAAATGACGTAATAACGCGTTTCGGGAGAAGACGTAAAAGAAAAATTGATTTTGTTATTTAAATATATGTATTTTGTCTATTTATATTATATCTATAAATTAAATTATAAGTTCTTGACTTGGCCACGACTACGTGACCCCCTCCTGGCGCACAAGCTGGATCCGCCCTTGCATATGACTGTAATAAGATGTAACGAGAATGTAATAGAGAATTTTCTAGAACTCAAACAAAATCAAAAAACTTAACTTTTTGTTTCTTATTTTCATCAATTTCGGTTATCATTAACTACGTTAAAAATGGTCCGTTGAAAACACATTATTTCATGATCAATTACAGTTGGAAATGCTCGGGCCCCTTGTGCAGCGAGAGCGGAGAACCGAAACACTTCGTCCTACTAAATCGATAGCCGCCGAGCTGGAACTGTCCTATTACGCCAACACTCTGGTCGCGCACTACGCCGCGCCCGCTATCGTCGGTGAGTATAGCGAGCTTGATGATTTATGAAAGAAAAAAAATAAGATTTGGGGGGGGGGAATAATTGCTCTCGTATAAAGCTAGTTATCTATATATTAATACGTGAAGCAAAAACTTTGTACCCCTTTTTAAGAAAATTACGCGGACGGAGGAGTATGACATTTCCCGCACTTATACAGTTTAAAGAGAAGAAGTGCAGAATGCTATTTTTTTTTAAATTATGCATAAACAATACGTAAAATCAATAAAAAAACTACACTTACTACCATGTATTTAACAATCCACATATAGGATTTGTTTTTGTTTAAAGTTTGTGGTCAAATTGAGAATAGATTAATATTGTTTGTCTTTATTATTTGTCTATAGTGTAGTATTCGCGAAATCTGTGATTATAGAAGTATAGTAATGTTCAAACTTATAATTTCAATTAATTATAGTCGAATTTCGACTCTTGCGGGACCACTAGTGAGAATTCAATCGAAATCTCAATTTAAAGTAATGGTACGCGCTGGGGTTCGGGATAAATAAAAATTTTACCAAAGTACAACTAAAAACTGTATTCAGCACTTAAAACACTTAAACACTTCACAAACACTTTTAGTTTAAAACACTCAAGAAACACTGTAAAACTCTCAATTCGCTTGTTCCGCTTGGCTTCAGGTAATCCATTCGCTGTTTCGCTTCGAGTAGTTCCGATTACTGACTAACTGCGTGCCATCGCTGCAACGCTTTTATAGTATACCTCATCCCTAGAATTATCGAGAATGTTCCATACAACTCTAGTCGTAGTTTCCGCTATCTGTCAATAGATGGCGTTGTAATTCTCGAGCATTCTGGATCCTTCGATATTCGTTCGACTATTCGACGATAGATGGCGTTACTCTTACCGGCGTTTGAATATTGCAGCCACGGCCCTCGAGAGTATAGTGTGTCGGCCGGATGCGGATGGGGACACGGTGCGACACCCAGAGCTGCTGGGCGCGGCGCTGCAGCTGTACGAGGTGCTGAGCGAGGAGCTCATCCTGTGCGCGCCGTGCCACACCATCCACGAGACGCTGCTGCGGGCACTCGACCAGCTCCTGGCCAGCGGGGTCCTTGTTAATGCAGAGGTATCCTTTTTTTTATTGCCTTTGTAGGCAGACGAGCATACGGTCCATCTGATGGTAAGTAGTCACCGTCGCTTATGGTCATCAGCAATGCCAGGGGCAAAGCCAAGTCGCTGCCTACCATAGCTGCCTTCCTGTCATCTCTATCACGATCAGACAAATCGAGATTCAAAATGTACATATACACTAGTGTTCGCCCAGTAATCGCCTTACTGACAACTCTAGATATAAATTCATTTTATATATAACGTTTTTGTTTACTTATAATTAATATTTGTTTATGTAAAGATAAAAACAAAATTAACTTAGATTTATTTTATAGATTCATATATATTTTATAATACTGAAAATCCTATACAACGAACTCTCGCTATAGTGGTTGTTAGGTAGGTGGAACAATGGGGGCGCTAAAAAATATATAAATAATTTATTCTCAAAGGGGGCAGTAGACAAAATAAGTTTGGGAACCGCTGCTGTCGACGAATCAACTTTCAAGCATTTGATAGTCAAAAATAATGCCATAACTTTGAAGTTATTTTATTACAGCGCACTGACGGCTTAGAGGAAGAGAAGTGGTCTCGTCGATTGGCCAAGACTATAGATGACGAGGAAGACGACGGCTACGAGCGACCCGACCCGACCTTAAGAATCAAGTACATCATTCAGAAAACCCCTGAAGCGATCGCTGAGAGGTAGATAGATACATTTAATGAATTTAACATGGTATTAGTTAAGTATAATTTGCGTAGTTAATTACTGGTGGTAGGACCTCTTGTGAGTCCGCACGGGTAGGTACCACCGCCCTGCCTATTTATGCCGTGAAGCGGTAATGCGTTTCTTTTTGAAGGGTAAGGCAGCCGTTGTAACTATACTGAGACCTTAGAACTTATATCTCAAGGTGGGTGGCGCATTTACGTTGTAGATGTTAACACTAGATGGACTGTGAGTCCACCACCCATCTAAGCAATAAAAAAAAAACAATGTAAAACATATATTTTTTAAGGGATTTTATGACTAAGGGTAACTTTAGGTCATGTCTTATTTTAATTTATATTTTTAATTTTATGAAAAATGATAATATGAAGAGAAATGAAATGAATTTGATTAATGTGAAACATGGCATTAAATGAAATGAAATGAAATGAAATGAGATGATATGGGATGAAATATAATCTCAGTAAAATGGTGGTCATTCACTGAGACTTATTCAGTGGACTTTTTAAAGGATCCCGAGAAGTTACGTTCGGCGGTTTTGTTTAATTTTTCCACATTTGTGCACTTTCACAGATACTAAACAGTTAATAAACCACCGTTATTACACGTTTAAACCTGAAGAAACACTAAATAGACAAAATAAAACAAATCACACAACATCACTTCTCGCGTTTCCGCCAAAAAGTCCAATGTAAAACAATGGTTCCTTGAATGTTCCCAGACGTCGCCTGCTGCTGACCCTGCGGCCCCTCATCGAGTCGTACAGCGCGTCGTGCCGGCACCTCGCCCCCGGGACCGTCAAGTCGGTCGTCAAGGCGACCATCGACGGTCTCGTCCACGACTACACCACTAACAAGATGCCGTACGGTCAGTATTGCTAGGACACAAAGGTCGTGATTTAATGACGATATTCACAAATAGGCACTAAGTAGGCAGCGACTTGGCTTTGCTGACGTCCATGGGCGACGGTAATCAGTCACAATCAGGGTATACACTGATATGTCTAAAAGTGCTAAAAAAAGTATATTTTAACACTGACTCTTAGTTTTAGTTATTGGCGATTCGATTATGATTATATTTTGTCACGCAAGATAATTCATTCGACTATCATCATAAATAATGAATAGAAGTTTTTAATTCAACAAATGTTCGTTTATAGGCTACATACGTTTAGTTCTAAATAATATATTTAATAATAATAAATATATATAGCACTAGGTAAAAAATAGAAATTGTATTTCAAACAGATATAAAATTTGTATATTATATGTTTATAGTTAATATATTTTGCCGAATATAATAACGTTGCGAAATAAAGAGCTAAATTACTGATTGAACTCCACAGGCGCGGCCGTCTCGAGCGACGCGGTCAGGAACTGCCTGCGTCTCCTGAGGCAATGGGGCGTCATAGAAATGTACACGGACAACAAGGAACGGAAGATAAGGCTGAGGCCTCCCTACGACGACGCGCAGAAACTGAACGACATCTGCTCCCACATCTACAAGTTCAATGTCGACTCGCCGCTGCTGAAGGAGGAAAGCGCCACGTGATCTCGACCAGCTGACTGTAAACCTTTATCCGAATTAGGACAACTAAACTTGAAACGGAGTGGACCTGATGTGGTCTATTAACACATTGACTGCCGTGTAGGTGACCTACGCGGCGCACTGAAGTAATTATATCGATTTCTGTTACTTAAGCGCTTGGATTGTTACGTAACTTTGCCTTCTTTTGTTTGATAATATATGTTTTAGTCTTTTAGGTCTTACAAAAATAGATTCATTGTCAGTATCATCGCATTCGTCTTTCCCAGAGTCTACTAGATATTCCGGTTCCTTAGTAAAATAATAGTTTAAAAAAACTAAAAAACACGCTTTACATAAAATTCAACTAAAAAATTTAAAAGAGATTTAAATTGAAAATGGTGTAAAAAATATATATATTTTATTGTAAAAAAAGCGTGGGGTGCTTTTTAAGATATTATTGAAATAATAATTCTTCTACTCATATCTATCTGTCAGAAAAATATTTATAACTAATAAAAACACCATTACCCCACGCTTTTTTTTCAGTTTAAATTTATTTTCTATTTTTAGTTGAATTTTATATAAAGCGTGTTTTTTAGTTTTTTTAAACTATTATTTATTTTTCATAAATTTTTTTTTATATTGAATTGTCATCGGTCCTCGATAAATCTACAAAGTTTGAATGAAATCTGGCCGTTTTAAGTGGGTCAAAACCGCGTCTAAAGGAGTCAGTTACAAACATACATACAAGTAAAAAGAACAAAGAGAGAAATCGACATAGTTACTTTAGTACGCCGCGTAGGGCACCGGTGACCTACACGGCAGTCAACGTGTTAAACAATACAGATGGTTTTTTTTTTCGTCATAAATCTTATACAACCAAAATTAGTGTCTTATATGATTTAAAGTAAACCTCAAGCTATGACGAATAAATAGGACAATTCGCCGATATTTTTGCATTTAATTTACATTGGTGCTTATGTTTGTGCATTTGTGTGTGGTCATAATGGTTTTTTTTTTTATTGCTTAGTTGGGGGGACGAGCTCACAGCCCACCTAAGGTGCTAAGTGGTTGTTGGAGCCCATAGACATGTACAACGTAAATGTGCCACCCACTTTGAGATATAAGTTCTTAGGTCTCAGGTATAGTTAGAATGGCCAAAACGATTTGAACGTGATTTTCGTTAGAGACATAATGAGGGTCGCGTTAGCTTTGGATTGTGAATATACCGATTTAATAAACTCTAAGCAATAATTTATTTTTATCATTTAAAAACCGTTGATCGACTTACCTTCTATCAAGTTTGAATCGTTTCTCCATTGTACTATAGTGACCTGGCGATAAATCAAAGGATATCGTTTCTGTATGGTAAACCACATTAGCTCCGCTATCGTTAATTGTAAAAATGTAAATAAATAAGGTGTTAATTTCGTATGATAATCTTAGTTCGCTTCATCTAGTGTAAATGGGACAGAACATTATTATGAACTTTAGATTTTCAATTGGAATGAGAAAATGTTGATCTTTCTGTACTTTACTGCTCATTAAAATACGAAGAAAAGTAATAACGTTTTTTTTTGTGTTTGACAATAAAGAGCTTATGTTAGGTTAAATTTAAGATCCTAAAGTCTCTTCGTTTGTGTGTTATGATCCACAATTTTTACATTTGACTAAAATTTTTGATGTGAAACATCTATAGCCGCACGTAAAACCGATTTCTGGCGTGGCGACGCGTCGCCATGCTATATAATGGTATATATATAGTCTATATGCAGTAGTGTGTACGGTGTGGCGACGCGTCGCCATGCGCAATCGACTGCGATTCTCTCCCACTCGATCCGGCGTTAAGCCATCTCTCTCGCTACACTGAGCTCGGATACCTATAGTGTATACTCCGTAGTGTATACAGTGTTGCTTACTACAGTACACAGTATAATCTGTGTTTTACTTGAATACAAATTATTTTTTCGTAATTTTTTATTTTATCATTATGACATATTTAGTTCCTATCACAATCTGTTATTTTCTGCATATTACTTTTACAAAATAATGTCGATGTTTCACATCTGCCAGGCGTCCCGTGACGGCTCACATTTTTTTTTTCTACAATTTTCATTGATATTTGAACTTCGTTCTAAACATTAGGTGATTTTGGTCGAAGTCAGCACGATTAGTACAAACATATTCAATGAGAGGCGAGAGTTTTTCTACTTTTGTCTCAAATAAGTAAAATCGCGTTTTTCGGACTCAAAACATAAAAATGCTTTTAATTCTATAATACGTAGTTCGTGTGGAAACCAGTTGAATTGTGACTTTAAAAATGTGATTTAGTTTTAAGTAACATAAGTTATTTTTTACTTTAAAATGTAAAGGGGAGCACGGAAAAAATTGTAAATATGAAGTCAAATAGAATTAAATATAAACGGACGCGAGTCTATGCATGTTTGTTTCTAAAATTGACCGAATTGTTTTATCTTTACAAGAGCTATTGACAATCAATATGAACCTCATCAGTAGATTCATATTGATAAGCGCAATCGCTGACTTCAAACAATTGAATGTTTAAATGATTTAAGTTTATTCTAGTTTACAATTTTTTTCTGATGTTTCCTTTATAAAAAAATTATGGGCTTAGAGATATAATTCGGGAGTACAACCTATGTCTACTAGATTAAAAATTTATAAATAAATATATTTATGAATAGCATTTGCGTTATAACGTTAAGATTATTATTTTTTTAAATTACGCACTTCGTACCAAAATATGCGATAGCTGACGGTAAAAGTCATAAAAAATCGGTAAAATAAAATCCGAATATTCTGTAAACTATTTATTGGCAAGTTATTTTCAATTAATTTTCCGCCGACGCAGCTGCTTATACACCTATATTCATAGATTATATCTGTGAATCGGCTTAAGCAATGTTCCTCTCGATTTGATCCGAATTTCACCGTTGTGGGGTGAGACTATTCGAACTTTGCTAATAGCAGATTCTAGCGAAATAAAACTTCGTCTAATAAATCAAAAAATAATAATGGAAAGGTAACTTTAAAAGATTGAAAGATACGAAAAAATAAAGCGGAGATAATTAGAGCGTCTTTTCTTTATGTTGTTGCTTAACGATATAAGATAATTACAAAAACGTTCGTCAACTTATTCAATCGCCATGTGTTGCTCAATTTAAACTACATATTTTTAAGTTAATAAAAAATTTATTACTTGTATCAATCGTTAAAAAACAATATGAATTTGTAAATTAATTGTTACAGGGCTGTATAGGATGTGATCTCAATGCTTACATTGAATTAAACGAATGACCCGAATCAGACTTTATTTTTATTTTGCCATTTTTTTTTATTGCCCTTGTAGGCAAACGAGCATACGGCCCACCTGATGGTGAGTCGTTGCCGTCGCTCATGGACTTCAGCAATGCCAGGAGCAGAGCCAAGCCGCTGCCTACCGCTTAATACTCTCCACAAGCCTCGTTTGAAGAAGGACATGTCATAGCGCTCGGGAAACACCGTGGAGGGGAGCTCATTCCATAGACGGATGGTACGTGGCAAAAAAGGAAGTCTTTAGTCAGGCGCTGGCTTGTTCTTAATTAAACTAGTTTTAACTGAGTACCTGCCGAGCTAAGGGTCGTGGGTTCGATTCCCACATCGGGCAAACATTTGTGTGATGAACAGCTTTGCTCTTTGTCTGGGTGATAAATATCTATGTTTTTTTATTAAAACTATGTATTTCAGTTCCTGGATCCTGGACCTGGATGGAGGAGTCAAGTGACCATCTCAAATATTAAGTGTATTATAATCTATGCATGTGTTGGTCATTAATATTTACATGGAGTTAATAAGTACCTACAACTTTAATACTAACTCTATGAATATTTATTAATATATATATTTTTTTAGGGATTTTATGACCTGGTAAGTAAGACTTTTAAGTCATGTCTTATTTTAATTAATATTCTTATTTTTATGAAAAAAGATAATATGGAGTGAAATGAAATGAAAGGAAGATGATTAATTTGAGACATTAATCGACTGGGATGAAATTACATGAGATGATATGCGATGAAATATAATCTGAGTAAGATGGTGGTCATTTATTGTGATTTTTTCAGTGGACCTATTGGAGGATCCCGAGAAGTTACGTCCAGCAGCGTTTTCATTTTCCCACATTTGTGCACTTTCACAGATATTAAACAGTTAATAAACCACCATTATTACACATTTAAACCTAAAGAAATACTAAATAGACAAAATGAAAAAAAATACTTCACTCCTCGCGTTTCCGCCAAAAAGTCTTATTAATAACTAGTGGCCCGCCCCGGCTTCGCTTGGGAAGTAGCGCACGCGATGTAAAGAATTTTAGGTAATTTTTGAAGTTATACTTCTTTAGGCGCGTTATGAAAAATTGATGAGAGTGAAATTTTACGATGCGCGCGCACCGTGACGCAAAATTAACAGAATGAAGTTGCCCACTAAATCGCTCATTACGATACGACCGACGTAATATAGCTTCAGGTGAACTTTCCCAATCGTTTTTTTTTTTTTTTTCCTACCTGAGCTGATAGCCTTAGGGGCTATTTCAGCGTAACCCTAACGTTTGTAGGTGAGCTCACGAGGCTCAAACCTGATGACGTTGCTAACACGAACCCTAGCAAGAGCCGTGCTTCGCAGAATCTACCACCGGATCGGAAACGCGACCCACTGAGAAGATCCGGCGAGAAACTCAGTGGGCTGCGTCTGAGAGTTAATTTACTCGTCGAGCCCTTCGTCGCAAGCGACGGGTTCGACGAGAACGGTGACCGGTGCTTGAAGTACCTAAAACCACCGTTAGTGGATCGGGAGGATCCGAGATGACGTGTCCGAATCGTACCGAGAATTACCGAATTTATACGATGTCAAGAAAAGAGATGTCCAATATGCGTGTTTGAGGATGTTGTTTAATCGATTTTTTTCCAAATTGATTAAAATTATTTACACGCACCCTTTTTTTTACACATTGGATTACATTATTGGAGTTTCAGTAAGAATCCCTATTTTTTTGAAAATATAATAAATATAGCCTATGTCACCCGGGGATAGCGTAGCTTTCCAACAGTGAAAGAATTTTTTAAATCGTTTTAGTAGTTTCGGAGCCTATTCAATATAAACAAACAAACAAATCTTTCCTCTTTATAATATTATATTATTACTATTACTATAGATTTGATTTAGTACATATATTTACAGATAATTAAAGTTTTTTTTTTCATAATACCGTTAACCGGCTGTAAATAGCGTGCGAGTAGTTTCAACAAATAGATTGCTTTCATAAATTTTATTATTAAAATAATTTTCTGTGTAACGTGGCCGGGTTTCACTAGTATTTTACGAAACTGGAGTTTATATTGGTGAGTTGGTTTTGGACATCTACAATGTAAATGCGCCACCCACCTTGAGATATAAGTTCTAAGATCTCAGTATAGTTATCTCAGTATGTTTATTACTCTTTCACGCGAAAGCTACTGAATGCATTTTGATGAAACCTTTCAATAATATATCTTACACATCAGAAACACATAGGCTATAATTTACAAAGAAATAGTGTGAATTCCTACCCAAAATAATATAAAGATAAGTGTTAAGTAAGTAGGAAAGAAATCTACAATTTGCGAGCTATTCAACCGTGCCCTGCAAAAACCGTTGGAGTTAGGACGTATTTAATGTTTATCTTATGAAATGGAATGGAATCATAGGAAACGTTTATCTTAAATAGTTCTACAAAAAAGCCAGCGACGGCATATATCTATCTTTTATATGTATTATCGCCAAAATAGTGAACCAAAAATGCAATAAAAATTGATAATTCATTAACGCACATTTGGTAGTCACAAATGATCCTTCAATGAAATTAATAGTTTTATTGCATCCGGTAAATAAAGTATACAAACTTTGTTTTTTTTTTACGCTTCATCATTTAAACAAATATTTGAATAGTTATGACTATAAACAAACGAGTGCGGCATATCATGAAAGATCAAGAATCAAAATTCAAAGCTCATAAATTACAGTTCCTGAAGTTACATTATAAATTTCTTCAGCATACTACTGTTACGCCGCGTTGGTAAGAGTAACGCCATCTATCGCCGAATAGTCGAACGAATATTAAATGATCTAGTAGCATCTAGAACGTTCGAGAAGTACAACGCCATCTATGGTCAGATAGCGGAAACACAATACGCGAAATGTGTGGAACTTTCTCAATAATTATAAGGATGTGGTATCGGCTATAAAAGCGTTGCAGAGATGGCACGCAGTCTGTCAGTAAACCGGAACTACTCGAAGCGAAACAGCTAACGGATCACCAGAAGCGAAACGGAAGAAGCGAATTGAGAAGCTTAATGTTTTGTTGAGTGTTCTAAGTGTTGAATACAGTGTATACTTGTAATTTGGTAGAACTTTATTTATCTCGAACTCTAGCGCGTAGCATTACAAATGTATCAAGGGGAAGCCTTTGGTACATCTGTACCATTTTCATGATTCATAAATAGTGCTTTGATATATGTTTTCCCTCAATTATCTTCTATAAATACACAGAGTCGATACGCATTCCTTTGAAAACCTTTGATCTCTTTCTTTCTCTCTCTCTCTCTCTTTGATCTTTGGTCTCTTTAAACGCTTATCTCAATTATTGTTACAAAGAGTTGTCGCTGTCTTATGTATATTATTTAAATCTGTCATCTTTCATTCTTTTCTTTTTTGGCTTCCTCCTAAATAGGTTGAAGTATTTACATAAATATGGTAGTGGCGTTTTTAGTCGCCACACCCTTTAGCCATAGTGAGGATACTACAGCTAAGTATAAATTCATGACAGACACATTGCGAAAAAAAACACAGGTGGTAAGATTTCACACACGTATTCGAGTGGAATTGTAATGTACCCTAACACCAGAAATTGAGATAAGAATGTAGGAGGTGAGATAGGAAAATACCGATGCTGCTGCTGCAGACTCATGATTGGGCAGCAGTACTTTTTAGAGGTCGAGGTCGTACTCCTCTGTCTTCAGTTCATACATTAATACAAAACGAAGGCAAACATTATGCACCTGTTTTTGAAGTGAAATTTAAGATTGAAATACGTATTCTAAGTACAAATTCAAGTTTTTAGTTCGGTCACGCTGTTTGTGTCTAGGTCTTCTATATCGTTTCCTCACTACTGAGGATCGCGACCACATGCGACGAACTTCCAATGTGCTCGATCATGGGTGGCATGGACTGCATGGTATAGACTACCACCGAGTGCTTCTCTTGCTAGATCTGACCATCTGGCTGGTGTTCTGCCCACAGCGCGCTTGCCCTCTATGCGATCCGCAATTATTATGAACTTCTCTAATTCATGTCTGGGAGACAGCATGATGTGTCCGAAGAAGTTCATAACACGTTCTCGGCAGATGGAAGAGAGCCTTTTTCGGATGTCTAGCTGCCTTAGAATGGACTCGTTTGTTCTCATGGCAGTCCACGGTATTCGTAGCATCCTCCGCCACACCCACATTTCAAAGACATCGATATTTTTGATATCCCGGCTTTTTATGCACCATGTCTCCGCCCCGTAGAGGAATATGGGAAAGATCAGTGCCCGCACCAAGCACACTTTGGTTTTATATCGGATGCTACGATTTTTCCAGATCTTCTTGAGATTGGCCATCGCACTTTTAGCCATACCGGATCTTCGGCGTATCTCCCCCGTGCAGCCACCCTCGATAAGATACCGCCCTCAAGATATCTGAATTCCGCTACTTTCTCGTAACCACTGAGTGCATCAGAACGTGGAAGAAGTTGCGCTCTATCTATTATCATTATTTTGGTCTTAGAGTGGTTGATTTTAAGACCGAGTTTAGCACTTTCTTCTTCCACACGGTTCAGCAGAATTGCCATTTCCTCTTCATCTGATGTAAGCATGGTAGTGTCGTCAGCGTATCTCAGGTTCGTGAGTATTTCACCGCCCACGGAAATACCGTCGTTCCAGCCTTCAAAGCCTTCAGAATGTGTCTAGGTACCAAAGATTAAATCCTAAATAATGTAAATCCTACCAGTAACAGTGGAAATTAAACTACAATCTACCACGTTAGTAGCTTTAAGATCATCGGGACGTGATTTAATCTTTTTCTTTGTCAAATAAAACTCGTTGATTCCAAAAATTTATTGCTTTGTTTCAGTATTTCAGATTAGTTACCTACATAATACGTTATAATATTTAAGTGTTGCATCCCTAAGCTTTATCAAAAGTCAACATTCAGTAAATGTCAAACGTCAGTTGAATGTCGAAACAAACGTCAGAATTGAAAAAAAAGCTATCAAATCAAACACAAAGGTGATACAGGAACGAGCTGTGGCTTTGTGATGGTCGTAGGAATTCGGTAGTTTGCACTTCTATTAAAGACCAGTGCCTTGTTTAAACATTAATGAAATAGTCCGTACATATATTTATTTGAGAAATATGCTCTACTCTTCATTCGTAAACATTGTGGTGTAAATATGTCTCTGAAAACTTTTAATGTAACAATGTTTGGTGATTGTGTAGTGTTGTGCATGGTTTTATTATTTACGTTTGCAGTGATACAGGATGTTGGTGCACAACAACTTAGTAAGTATAAGAGTTAAATTGATTTCTAATAAGCAAAAGGATTCCATTGCCTCGAAAAAATCTGTTCCGAATTCAAAACTTGAAAATTAGGTAGATTTTGTTTTGCTTGGAACTTCATGCCGTAAATAGAATTATTATTTACTGTGGTTTTTTAAAAGCATAGAATTACGTGGAACCTAATGTGATAATATGTTAATGAGGTGATATTAAATAAATTTTTATTGTGGCCACTAAAGTACCGAAAATCGAAGATGTATGATTTTGAAAAACTGCTGTTTCGCAAGTGTGAGAAGTTAAATCAGACATTATTAGACTTATGTCAGAATTATGACAGTAAACTTAATTGCATTCTCAAACATCCCCATTATCAATGGTCTACAGTTTTACCAAGTACACTAATGCAAGGCATTAAGACCTGAAACTAGGTCTCCTTTTTTATCCAAATTCTATTGCCTAAAAATTTCAACTCTATTTCTTGTAAAATTATTTGAGGCATCACTATTAAAAGCCAGATACTTGAACATACATATAGATCTTATATGCAGTTATAATAATTAAATAATGCAGTTATAATAATAATTAAGTATATGCAGTTATATTATCATAAATTTCAGTTAAATCAAAAAACTCAGAAAGACTAAATTTATTTCTTAAGTGTGATGGATAAATATAATGGAATAGCTTGAGTTAGTATTTTATTCAATTTGTGTATGTTTTTAATTGCAAAAAAAATGTTATCCTAGATTGAGTATAAGCTACATATTCCTTGGCCTACTCATTTGTTAAAATGTGATGATGATCTCTGATGTATGATGAAATTAAGAAAGTGTAAACTTTATTAAATATGTTAGCTAAGCTGTATCTCTCATATGTGCAACTTTGACCAGTCTGTTGGTCTTCTTTGGAATTGCTTTTAACTCCTGCCACTTCCAGAACATAACACTAATAGTCAAAACTACATTCACAGTAAATTGAATATAATACACATATGCTTAAGTAATATCACCTTCACACTACACCTACCAAGGTTCATCTCTGCACTCCTCTAAGGTAGACTGTTAGAGAATGCCTATGGCATTAAGTCCACCTTTATACTTTCTAGTATATGAAGTTATAAATAAATAAATATAATTAACCTTTCTGATTCTGGCGACGGGGCAATGGAAAGTCACCATCACCCTAAACATGACTTTTCGGATCCCACAGATCCACTCTTTGATCTGACTCACGCGAATCGCTTATAAGCTCCTCAAGCACCAGTTACCATTATCGTCGAAATCGTCGATTACGACGAAAAGTTGAACGAGCAAACTAAGCCATAGACTAAGCCCACTGAGCTCTCACTGGAACTTCTCAGTGAGCCGAGATTCCGCTTACCGAATATAGATTCTGTGAAGCATTGCTCTGGTTAAGGCTAGTGTTTGCAAATTCTCATAGCCCACTAGGTTTCTCGCCGGATCTTCTCAGTGGGTCGCGTTTCCGATCCGCAGGTAGATTCTGCGAAGCACGGCTCTTGCTAGGGTCCGTTTTAGCAACGTCGTCAGGTTTGAGCCCCGTGAGCTCACCTACTAGCTCGGCAAATCTAGAATAACCGCCCGAGGTTACTAGAATAGGCAGGAAAAAAAAAGCTAATTCTCTCAGGCTGAGCTTGTGAGTTCACCTACCCGTCTGCACGTAGTTGGAATAATCTCTTAGGCTACCAGTGAATAGGCTGGGGGTAAAACGCCCGCATGACCCGTATTGATCGATACGACTGTACCAGGGCTCTAATCCCGTAAGCAGAATCAATTTCTCAAAGAAATTCGTACCGTTGTGTTCACAAACGAATTTGGGATGAAGGAAGAACATCTGGAAAATAAAGATAAATCCCGGAAATGTATAGCTAATTATTGATATTGGGCGTATTATAAGCCCGCACGGTTAGGTACGTATGTCTATGCCGCGAAGGGCAAGGCTCTCACGCAATACAATTGACCACTCAAATAAAAAACAAAACCAAATTTTGCTCATGTTTTTAAAGTTAAGATCAATGTGATACCCTATATTTTTATTAGAGAGTATAAATTAGGCAGTTCAAAATTAACTACAAACAAAGTTTTCGCCTTTTAGGAACACAATTAATATACATAGCTATTATATGTTAAGTGACGGTATGCCTATTAGCATGCCTACCTGTCCGCAAAGGAAGTTCATATCAGATTTTAAATCACAGAAAAGGAATTCGCCAATCCTAATGCGAGGACAGCACGAAAATCCGGTAGCGGATATACTGCCTTTTTGAAATCAAACGGTATCTGATAGGCAATCAATCACATGTCATTGTTGTATGTTTAAATATCTTTCAAACGTCAATTAGTTACGTATTTCATTTTTTTAAAGGGATTTTATGACATGCTAACTCAGACCTTTAGGTTAAGTCTTATTTTAAATTCAATGAAAACTTTTTTATATGAAAAATGATACTGCAAAATGAAATGTAATGAGATGAGATGATATGGGATAAAATATAATCTCAGTAAAATGGTGGTCATTTATTGAGATTTTTTCAGTGATCAGGGTTCCCGAGAAGTTACGTCCAGCGGCTTTGTTTTATTTTTCCACATTTGTGCACTTTCACAGATATTTAAGCAGTTTATTATTACACATTTAAACCTGAAGAAACACTAAATAGACAAAATAAAACAAATCACACAACTTCACCACTCGCGTTCCCGCCAAAAAGCCTTATGTATTTCAAGTATTTAAAAAAAAGCAAATGGCGATTTTAAATGCGTTTTTTTTTCGATTAACCAATCACCCGATGTTGAAGTGTGTGCCGCCGTCCAACTCGAAATATGAAGTTTAAGTCACAATTTTATTGTAACAACAGAGTTAAACTTACCCGTAACACATGCATCCTTCGCGTTAAGAAACACGCGTCCCGTTTAAACCAGTAATAAATTCTTCAAACATATATTTATACACTATTTACTAATAAAAAAGCTGAGTCTTTAATTTCGACCAGACGATTCATGTTTGTTTCAATCGTAATGCGAAACATTGTAGCTTCAATGCAAATTTTTGCCTACCTAACCGATGGTAACTTAAGAGACTATTTCAGCTACTCTCGGACCGGTAGGTGAACTCACGGTGCTCAACCTATGAGTGTTTGCTAACACTAGTCCTAGCAAGAGCAGTGCTTAGCTAAGTCTAACACCGGATCGGAATCGCGGCCTACAGAGAAGATCCGACAAGAAACACAACTGGTTGTGTCCATGGGATAGGTTTGCATGTTTAACTCTACGTCGCATTCAACGCATTCGCCAAATTCGAACTTAAAAGGTATTTCGGATATTAGAAGAAAAAAAAACGTCTTAAGGCCAGCAAAAATTAGCTTAAGGAAAAGATTGTCACGTGAATAATTCGCAGTAGCTTTAGAACAGTTAAATGATTGCGGATGTAATGTAATATTATTTTCAATTCATCGCTGACACTACCTACTCGCTTCCTAATGATTCACTTTGGTTTCCTATCGGCGCCTGCCTTCACACATGATTCACCCGACGTTACGATGAACAATAAGCTAGTATGCTAATTGTTTGCTATTCATTTGTTTGTAATAAAAATTAGCACCTACATCGGTTTTTTTTTATATAAAATTGTTTTGTTACGAGGATTTTATTGAGAATGAAACCAAAGTAGCCATTTGTACCTAATTTAGAACGAAATCAAAAGTAAGATTGTTATATAAAAGTAGTTAAAATTCTAAAGCTATGTTCTTAATTCAATTTTTTATGAATGCCGTACTATTTGTAATAATAATTGCTTACGAATAAAGTGTGGCGTACTTAAAAACAAAAAAAAAAACAGATTTATGTATCAATCGTAATAAAACTATATCGTTTTAAAATCACTGACTTGAGAATTATCATTGTGCCGTGTTATTGCTGCAAAGAAATTATACGTTTTAGATTACGCTAATAAAGCCTGTGCGAACTTGTATGGATATTTCAAGGTAAATGTCATTGCAGAATAAACTCGAATTCACTTTGTTAAAGTTGTAATTACCGCGCACAATTTACTGCCGCATACGTTTGTCCATCTAAGTAATACTTAGAAGGGTTCATGCTGACGAGACAGCCAGTGCGACCAGTGTTGTTTCTGTGTGCATAGAAAGAAAAACCTTGGAGCAATGCACTTTTATGTTCTTATTGTATATAATACTAGCTGTACGAGCCATTTAAAATTAACCTTATTATTTCTCACCCCCACAAAGATTCTCATCATTAACGACCCCGCAACTGGTGTAGGGAGTCCAACGCTCATATAAATATTAGCCTATCCATTAAGTACATGTATTTTCTACATGGATACCAAGTTTCAAGTCAATTGGATGCATGGTTCAGTAGCTATAACGGAAAATCCGTAAAAACCACTGTACATTTATATATTAGTATAGACTAGAGGTCCCGCAGTAGTCGAAATTCGACTATAATTAATTGGAATTGTAAGTTTGTACGCTGTTATGATTGTATTTTATACTTCTGTAATCATAAATTTCGCCAAGACTACATTATAAAAAATATCAACTACATAAGACAAACAATATTTAATCCATTCTCAGCTTGACAACAGACGTCAAGAACAAAAGTTTGACAATAAATAGTATGCATGCGTATGTGCGTCAAATACGTGGTATGTAGTGTGTGTAATGTTTTCTTTATTGATTTAATGTATCTTTTATGCATTATTTAAAAAAAATATTAGCATTGTGCACTTCTTCTCTATATTCTCTATAAGTGTGGAAAATTTCATACTCCTTCGTCCGCGCAATTTTCGTAAAAAGGGATACAATACAACAAATTATGATACAAAGTTTTTGCTTCACGTATTAATATATAGATTTATTGTTATTGCTTTTGGATCGGGGATTATGCTTTATTGTAGTCCTTACTTATATTGTGTTACATAAGTAATACTAAAAGAAATGTGTGTACGTAATATTCTTGGCTCAAAGAAGG